TGGAATAGTCACTTGACGCGGCGGTTACTAATCGCCTAATTTGGACTAGTCGTCTGACACAAATTTTGGCCCACCTCAAGCTGACCTAATTCCTCTGGCGGCATCAATATTGTGAATAATTTGTCAATAAACTAACTAGTTAGTTATAGATCGGAGTAGTCGCTCCACACTACCCGAATGGGTGGTGTTGATGCTCCCCACAAACCATAACCATTTCGACGCATCTGATCTTGTTATTTCTGCCCTCCCACCACAAAATCATGGCGAAGACGCGTCAAACTTCGGAAGATTGTGTACTCGAGACCTGCGAAGAAGCCCGTAGGCTTAAGAAGAAGCCATGCTAGGCTAAGCTTGCGTCGAAATATGGTGTTAACCGTCAGCGGAACAATTTCCTAGGTGGAAAGCTATCCGACGGAGGAAACTACCACATCATCGGTCAGTTAATTGATCAAGTCCGCAAGGAAGGAATATGATGCTACATTTGGCTGATGGGCAAGAACACTTTTATAACACTTTGCCAGTAACTAACTAGTTATGTAAGTTAGTTAACCGCGCGAACATCGCGGCCTGAGGGATCAGGCATACATCGGTAACTATGAGATAATATCATTTTGACTGCAGATTTCATTGAATTTTGGTGTTAAATGACTTCCATGGCCATCAAGGATTAAAAGTCGATATTTCCCCTTTGTACAAGCAATTGTTGATGGAATAAAGAGCTTTTCAAGCCACTGAATCCCAATTTCATCAGATATCCATTTGGGCTGACTTCAATGCGCCAATCATCCGGGAGGTTATCAAACCAAGACTCAATAAAGACCTTGCCTTTGAGAATAATACATGGAGGCAAGGCCCATCCTGATGCACTTATTGTCTCAATTGTGGTAGCCCATTCACGATTTCCAGGTTGTAAAAGTGAACGCTGACCATAGTATTCAGCCCTGGTAACAACCTTTGCAGTTGCTGTTAGACCCATTGCAAAGCCAGTCTCATCAAAGTTGTAGATATCATCAGGGTCAATGCCATATTGAAGTATCATACATTGCACACAATCAAACCACTCATGGATGATTTTTGGGTCTTCGCATTTTGCACGCTCATAATTATAGCGCCTTGAGAATTGGGTTGAAAGCTCTGGATGCCTTTTCACATAGTTTAAGACCCAATTCTCACTAACTGTTTGAACCGGGGTAGTTCCACGCGAGTTAAGTAGAAGATTGGCCATTTCTCATACAGTAGCGGGCCGAGGAGCTACTCCACAAGAATCCATTGAGAGTATCCATTTTAGAAGCGATTCCTCTTCTATTTGTGTCAATTTATGGTTATTGGCGCGAGATTCATGTCAATTTGTACATCCAGCGAGCCGGCGCCGGAGAGTTGTATGAGGCACATTGAATTGGTTTGCTGCTTCTTGAATTGAGGTAATTTCTTGCTTATTGATAGCCTGGATAGCTAATAAGATCCTACCCCCTTGCTCTATTGAATTTCTAGAGCTTTGAGAGCGAATTGGTGGCATGGTGGGTGATTAAAGGAAGAAGAGTGCACGAAAATGACGCGAAACGCGGTAGGGTGGCCACTCGCTTGTGGATTACGTTAGTTAACTAACTAACTAGTTAGTTAGTTAACTGCCAGTGTCGACAGCTTTGGATAAGGGTTCGCTATCGGCACACCATCGAAACGGTCGTTTGATCATATAAAACGCCTAAGTCCTACACTCCGGCGTTACACAGTAGGGATCATTTACTGTTGTCATCCTACGCAGTAAGCCTTTGTGACAATTGGTTTTATGCCCTTAGCATTTTCTACATGGCCTTGCTTGCTCCTGGGATTTTTCAGACTTCTAGGAGTCCTGGACTGGATCCTAAGACGGCCGATCCTGCTCTTCAGAGCTAGGAGCACGCTCCCCAGACATAGGGTATTCTCTGGAGTGAATTGAATCTCCATGGGAGCATAGTTTACCCCACTATCTCTGGGGAGAAGTTGGCATGGTAAGAAGCGGAGCAGAAGGAATGATGACCTCAATTCCCTGTTCCATTGATGGTGCCATCGCTGCTCTCCCCAGCCCTAGCCGTTTCGATCAGCGAGATCAACGGCAATCGCTTTCTGTCGCCGTATCAAAGTGAAAGTATCTCCAATGTCGAAGGACTAGTAACAGCAAAGGCATCGTCGGGATTCTATTTACGGTCTACTTCGCCCGACTCGGCTGACCGCACCTCCGAGTCTATCTACGTCTATGGCGGCGCTGCTGTTGATGGGGTGAATGTGGGAGACATTATCACGCTTAGCGGGACGGTTTCCGAGTACCGTTCCCCGTCCTCCTATATTCCCCTGACGGAGATTACGTATCCATCGGATATTGAAGTCTAGTCGAGTGATAATGAGGTCGTTCCTGTTGTTATTGGGGAGGATGAACTGTTGCCTCCGACGGAGGAGTTCTCGTCGCTGGATGAGGGGGATGTGTACAGTCTTCCGAACAACGCTAGTCAGTTGTCTGACGAGAATCCTGTTCTGGAACCGGATACATACGGGATGTATTTCTGGGAGAGTCTGAGTGGGGAGTTGGTTAGTATCAGTGGTCTCGGGGTTATCGCCAAACCGAACCGGTATGGTGATACGTGGGTTGTTGGGGATTGGCCGTTGACTGGGGAAAACGGGAGAGGAGAGTTGACGATGCGTGCTAATGGTATTAGTTTTCTTTCTTACTCTATTTATCTCATATATAGAGACGAGGCTAACGAAATCAGACTCCAACCCCGAAGCCATCCTCATCGGTTCCGCATTAGACGGAACCAACAATCCCACTGATACAAAACTAGGCGATACTGTCGACGACATCACCGGCATCATCACCCAAGTCTACGGATTCTATTCCATCCTCCCACTAACCGCACTATCCATGTCCGGCTCGAACTTTACAACCGCATCCCCCACAGATCTAGTCTCAGACGGCACCTGCAAGAAAATGTCCTTCGGAAGCTACAACGTGAACAACCTAGAACCAGACTCTGACACACTGTCTACAATCGCAGAGCATATCGCCACATACATGAAAAGTCCGGCGTTAGTAATTCTGCAAGAAATCCAAGACAACAACGGCGCTACAGACAACGGAGGTATACAAACCACCCATTGCAGCTGATCCACGTCACCTAGCTAATAAAACGACGACAGTAACATCCGCCAACAAAACCCTCTCAACCCTAACCGCCGAAATCGCCAACAAAGGCGGCATCAACTACTCTTTCATCGACATCGACCCAGCAGACGGCGAGGACGGCGGCGAACCAGGCGGTAATATTCGCAATGCCTATCTCTATGATCTCACCGTTATCAAACTACACAACTCGAATCCGGGTTCTAGTACTGATGCAAACGACGTTTTATCCGGTGACTCGGGTCTTGAGTTGAAATATAATCTGGGGCTCATTGACCCCGATAACTCGGCGTGGGAGAGTAGTAGGAAACCGCTAGCTGTAGCTTGGGAGATGGTGGATGGGGGTGATGTGTTCTTCACAATCAACGTGCATCTAACCAGTAAAGGAGGCGGTTCCTCGTTCGAAGGCGACGCCAGACCACCCGTAAACGGGGGCGTCGAGAAACGAATCTCCCAAGCTGAAGCCATCGCCGTACGACTCCCCTCTCCCTTTAACCTTTTTCAAAAAAAAAAAATAAATAAAAATAAATAAATAAATAAAAACATACCAACTAACCACCAACCTCTATAAAACTTCACAAACACCCTCTTAACCTCATCCCCATCCACAAAAGTTCTCATCTCCGGCGACTTCAACGACTTCTCCTTCGTCGCGTCCCTCCAGACCTTCACTTCCAACAACCTCTACGATCTCGATGATGTAGTGGACACTCCGTCTACAGAGCGCTACACATACCTGTATGACATGAACAGTCAGCAGCTGGACCATATGTATGTGAGTGAGGGTTTTGCAAAGGCGGAGGTGGGGGTGGAGCATTTGCATTTGAATACGTGGGTGGAGTATGATGCGCAGGCGTCGGACCATGATCCTACGGTGGCGGTTTTGGATGTTTGTGGGTAGGTAGGTTGGGGTTGTATTTAGAGTGATGGAGAGTCCGGGTGGTACTATGTAGGATTGAGGCTCTACTGAATCTATACGCATTGAGGACGATGGTAAATCATTCAGCATAATTGATATGTACTATACAACGAATATCCATCTGTATCTATGTCCATTCGATTCGCAAAGCACATTTTTCCCACATCTGCAATCCAGTCCAATCACCGATTAACGGCAATCAACTAATCCCATCCACTCATTTAACCAAAGAAGGGAATGACAGGAGCAGTAGGAGTCGGGGCTGCGCCGGACGGGGTTGGAGCGTCAGAAGGCTTGGGGAGCGAAGGAGAGCCAGTGGGCTTGGGGAGGTCACCGAAACCAGGGAAGCCGAAGCCACCAGTGGGCTTCTCGCCAGCCTTGGGGGTACCGGAAGGCTTGGCGGTCTCAGAAGGCTTGGGGAGCTCGCCAATGGGGAAGGGGATGAAGTCGCGCTTCTCCTGGTCGCCGCCAAACAGCTTGGCCAAGTCACCGAGGTCGGGCAGCTCGGAGGGCTTGGGGAGATCGCCCAGGCTGGGGAGGCCGGAGCCAGAGGGCTTAGGGAGGTCCGAGGGAATGGGGAACGGCAGGTCGCGCTTCTCGGAGTCGGAGCCACCACCGAACAGCTTGGCAAGATCGCCGAGGTCGGGCAGCTCGGAGGGCTTGGGGAGATCGCCCAGGCTGGGGAGGCCGGAGCCAGAGGGCTTAGGGAGGTCCGAGGGAATGGGGAACGGCAGGTCGCGCTTCTCGGAGTCGGAGCCACCACCGAACAGCTTGGCAAGATCGCCGAGGTCGGGCAGCCCGGAGGGCTTGGGGAGATCGCCCAGGCTGGGGAGGCCGGAGCCAGAGGGCTTAGGGAGGTCCGAAGGAATGGGGAACGGCAGGTCGCGCTTCTCGGAGTCGGAGCCACCGCCGAAGAGGTCACCCAGGTCACTCAGGCTAGGAAGGCCAGAGCCAGAGGGTTTAGGAAGGTCACCCAAGCTGGGAAGGCCAGAGCCAGAGGGCTTAGGAAGGTCACCCAAGCCAGGAAGACCGGTGGGCATGGGGAACAAGCCACGCTTCTCCTTGTCGCCGCCAAACATCTTGGCAAGTTCACCGAGGTCGGGAAAGTTGGAGGGCTTGGAAAGGTCGCCCAAGACAGGGGAACCGGAAGACTTGGGGAGGTCACTCAAGTCAGGAAGACCAGAGGGCTTGGGGAGGTCGGAGGGCTTGGAGTCGCCGAGGCCAGGGAAGGGGAAGAGACCGCGCTCGTTGACACGAGTGGGCATAGCGAGAGCACAGCTCACGAAACCCACGGTAGCAGCACTGCTGAACTTCATTTTGAAAAGTGGTCAAAGAAAGACGTAAAAGAAGGCTAAGCTCCTAAAGAATGGAAGGTATGAATAGTCACTGGATGAATGAGTGGTTGTCTGTTCGAGTCAAACGGGGAATTCAGACATCTTTATAGTCGTGGGATGCCGTGACAGATCCGGTCTTAATACTCCGTAGCAATCGTCATTTTACCGATGCGATTGCACACCTGCTCATCCCGAGCCCATCTCGGATGGTGGATACTGTTCGGGGAAAGCGTATCTGCCGATCAAGAAGAAGTCACCCAAGGTGCTTGTTCCAACAGGGGAGGTATCGGCATTCGGTTAGCTCCAGGGACAGAGCTTTATCATAAGGCTCGGTGATTCATTCGAGCCCCAATGGAGGGGACAGACGTCGTACGTATGCCCTCCAAACCTTCAATTTTAAGACGCAGATCTCTCCAACCATGCCGAATGAGGGCCCACAACTGATTATCAACGCCCAATCATCCCACGGAGCGAGCAACGTGTTGGTCAGGCACTTGGTTGGGATGGACAAAATCTGCGACAGCCCTGAAACCCTGCGCTGTTCCAGAAGAGTAGATCGCGATGTGTATCAGTTGCATTCCGAGTTGCGATACAGTATAGTGTACTCCTTAGTATTTTCAATCAAGTCTGGATAACTAGGGAGCGAATGTTAATGTAGATCCGTGCCTCCAGATTGCTGTAATATGTAAAATCCGCTATTGTGTATGGGGTCACCGAGGTCCGTGGAGGCATGTCCGAATTCGGAATGCTTCCACGACGCCTCAAAATTGAAGCTACAAATCCCGCTTATCCCACACGGTTAAATGTTTTCCAGCATATTTTGACTTGTTTGTCTGATGAGATTATCGATGATGCTGCCTGTTGTCGCGATCATGATAAGATAGTGGTGGTAAATAGGAAGAGACGTGCGAGAAGCAAAAAGGGGTGGTGACCGAGTGGTGACCGAGTGGTGACCACCCTTCCAACAACACCCATTCTACATACTACCAACAGAGAAATCTACTGACAGTGTACTATGGCACACCATCGAAAATTCTAGGTGACTACTTCGGATCTGTTCCTGACCGACTAGGTTGTTCCTCGGACAAACATGCATGGACCATGGCACCTTTACACTCAATCATTGTCCCTATGGTGTCATTCCCGTTTCTCGAATGCTTGTCTCGTGGATGGCAGGCGACTCCGGGATCAGTAACGGACCCCATCGGGATCCACAGATGCTCAAACTTGGGGCTCCGGAGTGGGCATCTGTGCGCGAACGTCGTTCATATGCGTGGCCCACGTACGGGGCACTCCGAGGGATCCGTATGAGATGGATATGTGCCATTTGCCACGGAACTTGCGATGTCGAGAAACTGAGACGACTTGAAACCGGATGTCTCGTTGTTGCTGGCGGGCAGGTAATGATGGCGAATGATGCCATGAGGGGAAATAGTATGTTTGCTATCTGCCAGCGCAGTGTCGAGGTATATTCTGTTTCCGATAGATATTCGGCTTCCAGAACTATAGGGTCTTGTTCTGGTCGGTTGACAAGGTTCTCTACGCGATAGCCCGGGTTCTGGGCCATCGTGGTCCTCTTGCGTTGAAATTGGACTGGGCAGAGTCATATCCTTCAACCATGACAATGCTTGGCTCCTTCGAAGTGAACACAGTCGAACGAGCCAGACCAAAGTACGCAACGTCAGCCTTGCAGACTGTGTTTCATCATCTATACTCCGAGGCTTAAGTACAACTACCGAACGGAATCCTTGTTCCGTGCATGAGCCATTTTTGAGCGACGGTAGATGAATTGGCGAGACATGTCTACGCAATGGCCATTGCTTATTGTTGAGGACCATGTGAACAGATGGAATTGTTGCATGATTCAGCCGGATGTCACTGAGTGTTGCCATAGCATGTCTCTGGCACTGGGAACTGTTGGGCACATACAGAAGGGTGAAAGAAGCCATGGTCAATGTTTGTCCAGCCTGCTCGTTAAGAGTCCTGATACCCTTATCATTTCATACAGCTCACGGAGGCCCAGGTCTGACAACCAAACTATTAACACCACCCCAAACGACAGCCCGCTCAACTTACTCCTGCAGCCGTACAACCATCCTAAACTTCACTGCTCACCATGCCCAAGCCGAACAATAACCTTCCCAACCTCCCTCTTCTCAAACCTCTCATACGCTCCCGTCACCCCACCCAACCCATACAAAATCTCATCAACAACCACCCCCGGCCTTGCAACCCCCCTCTCCACCAAACCCCTCAACACAAACTGCGACTCCTTCAACAGCACAACCCCGCTCCCAACTGAAAGACCCTTCGTCCAAAGCGTCCCAACAGAAACTTCAAACACCCCTTCCTTCCCAGTCGCCAGCGGTGCCCCCGGTGCCGGCCCCAATCCAGGAGGCGTGTACTCGCCAGCGATCCCGATTCCACCGGTTGGTTGGGTAAGGTCTATGCAGTTGCGGATGACGATGCCGGGTTCGCGTTGCAGTTGGGAGTTGAAGGTTTCGAAGCCGACGCAGTCGCAGGTGCGGCGGACGCCGGCATCTGTGCCGTTGGGGTGGCTGGGTGGTTCAAGCGTGAGGATTTGTTGCACCGGGTCGGAGTCTTTGAAGTTGATTGGGATCGCGCCGATAGATTTTGCTTTGTCAAGGCGGGAGGGGACGTAGTCAACTGAGTAGACTCTGCTCGCACCGCGGAGGATAGCAGAGTACGCGCAGAGGAGACCTACCGGCCCCGCGCCAAAGACAGCGACTGAATCACCAGGCTCAAAGCCAGAGCTGCTAAGCCCATTCCACGCCGTCGGAAAAATATCCGACAACAAGACATAATCGATATCCCTATCTCCATCATATTCAGTCCCATTGGGTGGGATTTGAAAACACGACGAATCCGCAAACGGCACCCTAATAAACTCCGCCTGCGTTCCCCCCAACCCAACACCGAAATCATCCCCCAACCCCTGAATATCAATCAACGTCTCCGGATGAAACGTCAGACAATACACCCATTTGCCGCGGACGCAGTTCTCGCAGTAGCCGCATGAGATCGGGCCAACGACAACCTTGTCCCCGACTTTTAGTGTTTTAACGCCAGGGTTAACCTGGGCAACGATGCCGATGCCTTCGTGGCCCATTATCCAGGGTGGGGTTTTGCTGCCTGCGAGGCCGCGGTAGGTATGGAGGTCTGTGCCGCAGATTGCGATGGTTGTGAGTTTGACCAGGACGTCGGAGGAGTGTTTTAGTTCAGGGACGGGTGTGTCTTTTAGGGCCATGTGGAAAGGCTTGCCTTCCCAGGTTATGGCTTTCATGGACTTGGGGGTTTGGGTTGGCATTGTGGTGATTTTAGCGCGGAATTGGTATTGATGTGGGATTACATTGGAAGTAGAATGTGTGTAGGGTCTGGTGAGACTTTTTTTATACATTTGGGAGAAGTTTGGATTGACATAATGGTGAGTAGTGGCGGGTTTACTTTCCGAGCCCTCATCGAGTGGTCGTCCGGCCCCTACAGAATGACGACTTACAAAAACAAAGGCTTCTCTGCTGCAGAAGCTAGAAAATGTTTAGAGATGAAATTAAATTATCCTGCAGATCCAAATACACGCGCCAATACCCTAATCAAGCCAAAGAAAAAAACTCATGTAAAAACATCCGTCGCATACCTCTCCTTCGTCTTCAGCCCCTCAAAGAACCTCTCCGTAGCAGTCTCCTCATCAACATCCTCAACCTCCTCTCCCCGCTCCCTCTTCCCCTCCCGAATCACCCTCCGTCTCGCAAGGTAAATATCCCTACAAGCCTCCCTCACGCCATTCCCAACACCCGTGCTACCACAGACATAGATGCGTGCGCCCTGGTCGAAGATCTCAACTAACTCGTCACGATCGTCAAGCATACGGTCTTGAACGTGTTGGCCATTTGAACCGTTGGCGGGGCGGCTATACGCCCATCGCACATCGACGGCGCCAAGTTCCGCCCACTCGGCGAATTCGGACGCGTGGACGTCGTCTTTTCCGTCGGTTCGGCAGCCAACGTATAAGATTGCCTTGGCGGGTTTGTCTTCCTCGGGCAGGTCCTGGCCAGCGCTTCGTCCGCGGATTTTCTCTGCGCGGTCCTGTACAAACCCACGGAAAGGTGCGATGCCTGTTCCCGCGCAGGCCATGATCATGGGCGTTTTGAGGTCGGTGGGTGGTTTGAAGCCCGAGTGCGAGGGGCGGACGATGACGTGTGCGCGTTCGCCGGCGTGGAGTTCCGAGAGGTAGGTTGATGCTACGCCTAGGTAGCGTTCTTCTTCTTCTTCCTTTGAGGTGGAGGCAAGGGAAGGCGCGTTTAGGACGGAGAATGTGATTGAGCACTCGGAGGGGTTGACTAGAGGAGAAGAAGAGATGGAGTACTGTCGCACGCGCATTGGTGGGAGCATGGCGAGGAATTCGCCGATGGGGAGGGCGATGTTAGGGTAGCGCGTGAGGATGTCCAGCGGGCTTACTCGTTTCTTGGAGACTTCCTCTGCGAAACGGCTGGGGCTGGAAGCGATGTAGCGCAGTTCAGCTTGGACTTCTGCGTCGCCGACTGCTGCGTCGGCGAGGGTGCTCAGGTCTCGTTTTGACGCGGGTTGCGAGAGTTCCACGTATGTGGAGAGGAGTTCGAAGGCTGAGACCGGGGTGCCTAGGGGAATTGATGCGCTGCCGGAGCTTTGGGAGGATTTTTGGATTTTGAGCGTCGCGTCCCAGGGGAGGTCGAAGCGGCGGATTGCGCGGCGGACGACGCTGCGGGGGTTTACTGGGAGGACGGCTAGGTAGTCGCCGCACTGGTAGGTCATGTCGGTGGGGAGTTGGAAGTTGATGATTCTCTTTGCGGGGACGCCGGGCTGGGTTAGGAGTTGGTTTTCGAGGACTAGGGCTTCTTGTAGCTGGAGGCCTAGAGTTGAAGCGCGCAGTCCTGAGGTTACTTCGACTTGGAAGCCGGATTTGGGCTTGGAGGTGTCCGTGGACTGGGAACCGCCGAACTTGGATGTTATAGCGGGCCAGAAGGCAGACTCGCCCCAGGTGTCGAAATCAGAGAACATGTCCGAGTTGGCTGCGTCTGCTAATCCCAGGTCGCAAAGTTTGTTTGCACCGCGCTCTTCGGCTAGTTTGTTGATGGCCTTTGGAATGCGATGGAACGTAGCGTGCCAGTCGTCTGTATGGGTTAGCATGGATCGCAAAGAAGAAAGTGTAAGGGTAGTGAGGAAACTCACGATGACCACATCCAAACACAGCATAATTAACACCTTCAAGCTCCTTCTCCTTCAACGAACTGAACCATTCAAAGAAATGCGCCGCATTGTCAGGAGGATTACCCTCATACGAGGCACTGATGAAAGCCACAGGATCCTTCTTCGGAACATTATGCATGGCCGAATCAAGCGGCTTCACTTCCGCACTGTACCCGTATCCAAGAGCATCATCCGCAAGTCTGCGGGCGAACGCCTCACATGTACCAGTGTTGCTGCCGTAGAAGATGTGCATAGGTTTTGTTTCGCCCGGTGGAGGTGCAACCTTCGCCTTGCGATCTCTGCTACCGGCTCCTGAGGTTTCGGGGGCATCGCTGCCACTTAGGAAGGTACCCAACTTGATCGCATCAAGTCCCTCGCGGGGTGTAGCTCTCATGTAGAAGTCTTTGGGCTTGACGGTGAGTGTCTGCTTGATCCGAAGGTCATAGCTGGGGTTGTCCAGCTGGAAGTTGAAGTTCTGCAGGAGGATGGCGACCACCAGCAAAGCTTCTTGCCATGCGAATGGGCGACCAATACAGCCGCGCATACCATTTCCAAACGGCTTCCATGCGTTCTTGGGCAGCTTGTCGAAGTGCTCGTCGAGCATGCGTTCTGGCCTAAATTCATCCGCGTCCGGGCCGTAGACTTCAGGGTCTCGGTGCACCTTGCTCAGGACAACTGCGATGACCTCGTCATCGTTTAGGACATATTTTCCGTTCCCTAGAGTCACAGGGCTTTCTTTGTTCTTGGTCGGATGGGCGTGGACAGCGATCACAGGTGCTGTGGGTCGTAGACGAAGTGTCTCACGCATGACGGCGTTGATATATGGCAGCTTGGACAGATCTTCCACCATAATCTTTCGTCGTCCGATAACCGTGTCGACTTCTTCTTGCGCCTTCTTGTATGCAGTTGGGCTCTTGAGCAGGAAATAGAAGAGGAATGACAGCATCCCGGATGTGGTTTCATGACCTGCAGATGGTTATTAGTCCGTCAATCCTAGAGCACGATGCCCACCTGGGAAACATACCCGCAATAAGGAAAGTAATCATATTATCAATAATCGTATCATCCGACAACCCCTGCCCAGTCTGCGGATCCCTCCCCAGAATCAACGCATTAAGCAAATCCTTCTTATCCTCCTCAGGATTCTCCTTGCGCGCATTAACCAATTCCTGCGATAACTCCCGCAGATAGGTGATATCACTCCAGTACTTAGCATTCTCGCTAGTCGGCAAGCTGTTCAGCAATGCCGGGCGACGAGTCCGGTCTCCGGAGCCTTGTAACAGGCCAACCATGGCTTCGACGAACGGGTGCATTTCGTCGTGGTAGAAGGAGTTGAATCGTGTGCCCATGGAGCAGAGCGCGATGGTGTCTAGGGTCAGACGGGTGAAGTCATCTGTTACCATGATTGGTGTTTTTGGTCCTAGTCGGGCCCATTTCATGACTAGTTGTGTCGCGATATCGTACATTTCTGCCGAGGTCAGAATTCCACCACATCAAATAGACCCATTGTTTGGAAGAAAATTTACCATCATACATCCCCCGAATCGACAATGGCCCAAACGCAGGCACAAGAACCCGATGCGCAATAGCCCAATTCTCCTCCCCGGGATACTCAGCCGTAAACAAACCATCGTGAACACCATTCCGGATCTCTTTCAACCCTCCGGCGACCATCTTAGCAAAGCGGTCTTCGTTAAAAACTTCATCGGTAAGTTCATGGCTGCTGATGAAGACTCGTGAGATTCCAAAGGTGGTTAAGCGGTAGATGGGGCCTGTCAAGTGTCAGTGTGAGTAAAAAGTATGACAGCGAGTCAGTGGTGTTGTCTACCGTAGTTATCGGCCATCAACTCCATGCTGTTCAAGGGTACATCGCGCTCGATGTCGTAGAGATTTCCCACGATCGGGACTCCCCTGGGCCCCGGGATGGGGACTGGTTTATTTGTGCTCATGGCAGAGGATAGCTGTTAGCTGTCCCTGGTGGTGGTGGGGCAGAGATCGCGGGTATCAGATCGATATTGATGGCTCGGAGCTGGTGTTGAATAGAAGTGCTAGCTGTAGAATCATATACCATGGGTAAAGGTAGTGTAGATATTAAGCTCTGGTGGAAATGCTGAAAGCAAGAGAAAACGACCCTTCTTATACAGCTGAAAGAAACTCCCAACACATCATACATTTCGGGCACCCCGACTCGGTGGGCCGTAGTTATGCACGGCATTACTGAATAAGGCTGAATAAGGGCCGTGTGATTTGCGGATATTGTGCATAACTCCAATCCAGTGACCGGGCACTGTCAGATGCCTCGGCTCAAGAATGTTGGGACAATCCGATTTAGTATATACTCCGGTGTATATAACTAGTGGCTATTTTATGTCGTGTTTTTCTGCACAAGGCAGCATTCATATTTACGGCAGATTTTGCCATCGCTGGTGTTTTGGTTCTGTCGCAAACTTGTCCTGATGTGACTAGTGCATAAACAGGTCTATGGGTATCTCGAATCTAACATCAAACAAAACAACCCGCTTCCATCTGCTTGAGTAACAGAAACACAGTCATCAATATAATCGTCCATGGGGAACGACTGTCAGCCGCAGATATGGCGACAAGGGTAATAGTGGGTTTCCCTGGTTATCGGTACCAGGTACGACGGACGGAATGAGAATCGCGTTGCGTCGAATGTATGACTCCGTGAGTATGCCATAGCGACATACCCGCAATACCGTTGGCGGAGTGCATGCCCTCCATGCAGAACCAGCATGGACACAGTCGCGCCGCGATGCCCTGACGGGTTAATTCCTGCGAGTGCCTGACGGGGTCGCCAAGGACGCATCCTGAGCACCATGGCAGTACACTCATAAAGGCAACAGAGCCATAAACCCACTCAATAACACAAAATATACAGGTGTTGACAACGCACGGCATCACCGCACAATCCAAACCAAAACCCAAACGACTAAAAAGGCCACACAAGCAATGAGTTTTGGGCCCGACGAACGCTTTCGCAACAGATTCAGAATTAAAAAGCACATACACATCAGCACCATAAGATTGATGGTGTAGTTGGCTCGAGACGGCGCGCTGCTGGCTTTTGCTCTGGCGACGGGCCAGCCGTCGTCGTATTCGATGTAGCTCCAGCCTAATTGGGCGTCCTGGGATTGTTAGTGGGTGGATGGATGGTTGGTGTTGGGGTACGTACGCTGTTTAGGAAGCCGATGGTTGTGTTTACTAGGATGGTCAGTTAGTTATTGCTTTAGTACAGATCTTGGGCAGTGTACTCACGATAATGATAATACATAATGTCCTGGTGATGCTTATTCTCCGGTAACACACCAATCCCCCCCGGAGCATAAACCAAGCCATGGTTCGATCCATAGACAGTAGTTCCGCCACCGTCTAAGAGTTTCTTCCCGGACTTATCGACAAACGGACCCGTCACGTCCTTGGACCGTCCAACTCGAATACTGTATCTGTAGGCTGTTAGCTCATCATCCGCAACAATAAAGAGCAGGGTAGCATACTCCCTCCCCATAACTGGAAACCCTTTATGAAAACCACAACACTTCCCATGACTAAACCAAAGATAATAATACGGCTCTCGGTACGTCATAAAACTCCCTTCCTGTGGCTTAACCTTATGCTCAGGCAGAAACACCAAATGCTTAGCATCCAGCCTCTCCTCGTCCTCAACAGACAACAAATCATCCGCCAACGGTAACTGAAAGATCCCATGCCAGTAACTTCCCCACAACAAATACGGTTTCCCAGTACTCTGGTCCGCGATAAACGACGCATCAATCGCATTCGACACAGTCAGCGGATACATATCAGAAAGAGGACCCTTCTCGGTATTAATCACCGCCCCGTGATCCGTCCACCCGCCCTGGTCAATCGAATCACTCGACGCAACACCTATCGCGCTATTCCTCACACCATTCTTACTAATTGTGTAAAAACAGTAGAACCGGTTCTTCCACTGCACAGTCGTAGGCGCCCACGGCCTCGTGCGATTCTGTTTCTCAATCACACTAGGTCCATCCAACACAGTCCCGATCTTCTGCCACGGCCCGTCGAGACTGGATGCTTTGTGGATGGGCACGTGAACACCACCCTTGAAGAGGTAGAACTTGCCATCGAGCTCGACGATATTCGGGTCGTGGGCTTGGACGTTGCCGAGGTTTGGTAAGGGGTAGTGTTTTGTTTCGGAGAAGATATGTGGTTTATTTGGGATGCGGACGGCTGGGATGGCGGTTGTCCATTGTGATAGTGTAGTTAGGACTAGAAATATTGAGAGGAAGAGCATGCTCTGAGACATGGTCCATTAACTAGGATGCAGGAGAGATGAGAAAAATGAGAATAAAGAAGATACATTTCTCTCATGGCAGAAATAACGGCATGAAAAGAAAAGAAAAGAAAAGAAACATGGCAGTGCTGCTTATCATGCGGATCATCACGTGATAACTGGATCCCCTGGCCAGATCCAGACTGCCCCACACGGCAGGACGATTTGGGATATTTGATAGGTTGATAGATGCTTGACTCGGCTTAAAATATCGCCAAGCTTTTGTCGCTGCCTGGCACTAGCCTGATTCGGTGACAGGCCCACCGCGGCTCATACAGTGCGGTCTCGATAAGCCGTACTAAAGATAACATGATGATTTGGCCGGTTTAAAGAGAATCCGTATTATCAAGTTATATTATCTAAACCACTGATCTAGTATTCGCTGTTGCTTTGATGACTCTGCTTTATATAATAACCGCTTCTCCAGCTGCTCAAGATGCTTGATCTCCTCAAGGGAGGTCTCCTGAGAGTGTTCTTGATACTGTAGAACTGTACGAAGGCCATCAATTGCTGCTTTTAAAGAGGGTGGTGGTGGCGCAGCAGGGCCATCATCATCAGAATCATCATCTATCTGTGGATGGACATGTTGAGAGATAATACTCTCTAGAGATTCTGATTCCTCAGCTGGTTCGGTGTCCTCTCCTGGGGGATTTATGAAGTTGGAGAGACTCATCATGTCTTGAATATGGCCGGCTTGCTGGGTTTCTTGGTAAAGGCTTGTCAGGTCTGGTACAGGCTCTGCTGGAAGACTGATTTGAGGCTGAATAACCTGACTTTTGCGGAAACAACTGTAGATTGTGGTGTTGCTGACATTATATCTCCAAGCACGTAGAGTCCAGCGGGCAGCATCATATAATGTGATTGACATGATAGGATCTTGTTGATGCTCATAACTCTCAATGATAAAGTGAAGCCACGTCTTCCAGTAATAGGTTTTTAGATTCACGATAATGCCTTGATCAAGTGGTTGATAGACACTGGTTGAATTTGCTGGGAGCCACTGGATCTTGATATTGGCTGGTGGTGGTGTAATATTGACACCTTGGATATGTGCAGAGAAGTTGTCAAGAAGAAGAAGAACTTGGCGTGATAATCCAATATAAGAATAAAATGAATGAAGCCATTCACTCATAATAAAAGTTGTCATCCATGCCTTTTTATTTGAGCGCCAGACACCACCAAGAGCTTGAATATTTATACCATAAAGAGAACGCGGCATCTTTGCAGTTCCAATGATCCATATAGGAAGACGCTCTGAGCCAGTTGAATTGACACAGACAGTAAGAGTAATCTGAGCCTTTTCTCTCTTTTGACCAGGCCTGGATTGAGTTCCTAGTCCAGAAGTTGGAGCTTGACGCCAAAAAAGCCCAGTCTCATCCATATTAAAAATGTTCTCCTCATCATATTCTCCTGCAATTGTTTGAATAGCCTTCATTTCTTCAGCAGCTGATTGACTGACTGATGAAGCCTCTCCATGCTGTTTTCGCATTTGAATATTGTACCGCCGCTTAAAATTATTGAGCCATCCCACACTGAATTCTGGGGTCGGAAAATCCTGATAATCCGGGATCTGTGGCCATATTTGACGAGCCTTTTCAAGAAGTATATCACCAGTAACAAGGCCATTTCTACCCTCAATCCCTTGTTGCCAATGAAAAAGAATATCTTCAAGTATTGGCCAATTGGAATGACGCTGGCGATATGTATCTGAAGGCACTGATCTATCATCATCAAGGTATATATATCGGTCGGATAGGATATCAGAGATAGTTGATGGCCGTATTTGTTGATTGAATTGACGTTGAAACCATGGAATGCAATCACGTTGACGAGGCTTTGGATATTGCTGTCTGAACCAGGTACGGAGAGCCTTCTTTTGGGCTTCAGAAATCGCTTGATGAGGCATCAGGGAGGACAAATATAGGAGTCAATATACGCGTTAAACCGGATTTTTGCATAAAATCAACCGTATACGGAAGTATCGCGACTGTGGCCAATTTGTATGGTAGATGAAAGTTGACAAGAGAATTTGGCCGGCTAAAGGCGAATACGGCTTAGGGCATATACGGCTTAACGAGACCGCACTGTATGCGCCAATCGCATGGCGTTGCATAAATGTACATAAATAGAGTGAGCCTCATTGTTAGTAGTAATATGCGATGGGTGTGTGATGTGTTCCTTGTAGGACCCGGTGTGAACGGGACAAACTAGATGCAACTCGGCTAACATAGCCTGCTCTGTTGGACGAATACGTGGAGAATAAACAAACACGTCAAATGGCGCATGTTCGTGATTGGGGCCGTGTCGTGTCATGCCCAAGCGAGGATCCGCGTTGATCGGTCAGGAACTCTGTCGATCATGAGTAGTAATGGTGAGATTCAAGTGTATTGTACAGAATTAAGAGGGTCGTCAATAATATGTACTGGTATGTGGTAGAGAGTAGTACATGGTCACATTTTACACAGAGCCGTTATTCTCCAAAGGTGATCCCTGTCAGATCCTCAAAATCATATACATCCAAGAATGGGTCGAATTCGCCAGGAGGCTACACCAGTTAATAAGAGCAGCACCAACAGTGTGACATTGGAGAAAAAGGAAAGACGTACCGTAATCCCCAACCCACTCGCCTGCAAAAGCCCATTAAACCCAGGCGTCAACGAAGGAACCAACGGCGGACCCGGCGTCAAAGTCGGAACCTACACGTACGAGTCAGCAACAAGCGGTGACATTCAACGGGATAAGGTAACTAACCTGATTGGTCTGGAAACATCCCATCCCCAACGGTCCCAGATGTGCACAATTGGCATGGCGTGTGAAGAGCGTCTGTGCGAATGTGATGACCCGGTCAATCACCTCTTGTTTGTACATGTTTCCTTGCGACGGCCAGAGTTTTGTCTTGACTAATGCCAAGATTGTCGACATGAAAAAGTATTCTTTTGCGCCTTTGACGACGAGCAGCCAGCGGGCTTCGAGACACATCAGAATAGCTTCTGCTAGGGTGAGCAGGGCTTCGGGGAAGCCGAGGAGTGTGCGAGTTAGGGATGTTACCAAGCCTAAACAGTTAGAACAAAGTGATGCGCGAGGGGTAATTGTGGGTGAGGACGTACCGCCACCAGCATCACCAACACTGGCATGAAGTGCCTGGCATATAGAGCAAAACGCTTGCATCGTCCAATCACCCGTGTTACACAGCGACAGAGACCGCGCCGTTTCGTGTAACTGTCGCTGTGTTGACAGCATCATAGTAGCAACCTCCAACCGCGCCCGCGCAGAAGGGGTGAACAACGGTTCCTTGGGCGCCTCAATGGCAAAAGGTGTGTGAAGCGACAATAGACAATGCCCGATTCGGGTCTCTAGTAGTGCCCTTATCATGATCACTTTGTGTTGAGTCCGTAAATCGTCCGCGTCTGAAGTAGCCCATGTGGGGATCTTCGATAGGCATCGGACGAGTTCCCAGTCCATGCGAAGAATCTCGTCGTAATGACAGCTGATGCGAGGAGTGTGCATTAACTGGCAAATCTTCAGCCGGAGCGGGAGCGACTGCGTCATGACTGTCTGGAACGAGCAGTCAGTCAACTCGCCAACCGGACGGCTTTGGGGAAGTTCCGTGGTTGTTTCCTGGATTTCATTGTCGTTGATGTTCAAGGCAGGCTCCGTGTCGTAGTCTGAGATCTGCGCCGTCGGGGCCATTCCTCGATCTATAGACACCTGAAGATCCAATTCTACAATAGTATTCCATATCCGACGTCGCATCTCTTTATTGAACATGGATATCTTAGTGTAGCGACTAGGATCGCGGTGATACCCAGCTAGCATAGCCTGCTTCACTAACGTGCCGGTCGACAGCCATGCCTGGCTGCGTTTCATGCCATGACTATTCTGAGCAATTATCAAGAGCACATACAGCCGTAGAGCTGTGATCTCAGGCCGCTTGATGCTGGCGTTCTCTAGCCATTTCTCCGCATGCAACACCCACTCGATAGCCGTATAACATTGCAGCGTGTCTTCACTTTTAGACTTGAGTACTTCGGGGTCCGCCAGATTCCAGGCGCAGGCCAGGACCAACATCAACTCGACAACAAACGCAGGCGAGACCAAGGTCGGGTTGTCCTTCTGTGCCCAGAAATGGTCAAGCTCACGGAGGAACGAAGGTACGTGGAGGATTCGATGGGTAGACTCGATGTAGGTCAAGTACAGGACGACGAGATCGTCTACCACGCGACGCGAAGGCAATGATGCAACTAACGAAAAGGTATCCGGGACTGGGATGGGCGTGTTCAACGGGTATTTCTTCCATAGACCCCGTTTTACGCGCTCCAAATCCGGTCGGACTTGAGCCATGTGGGGGCTTGATACTCGAATGTCTTCTGCGAAGGATTTGATATCGGGGAACTACCCCATTAGTTAAATGCATTTTACCAAGTCATCCCACGGGGAGCATACCTGAGCCATCACGTTGGCCAATATCCCCGACCCGTTAAACCGGGTCCTCGTCTCCTTCCCACGCATCATAATCCGCGGCGCCAAATCCAGCTGCTGCGACGGCGATGCTATTCCCATATCATCCTCCTCGCCCTGTTCGGGGTTACAGTGGCCGTAGCCGTAGTGACTATAGTGCTGATGATGCAGCGGCGGAAGATGCGTCAGCCCCGAGTGATGATGACCGTGGTGAGAAGAAGCAGGATAGTACCCCGAATGCCCACTACTGCCCGGAGGATGGCGCTGCAGCACCTCGGTATTCACATAGGAGTCCTGGTTGACGGCGGACTTGGGCGCACCCAGCACCGTCTCCAGAAAACGATCTTTTTTCCCCTCGCATTCCGTGCGTCGTTCGGTCCCCGAGGTCTGCGCTTGAGCCCGAGAGGCCCAACCTGTTATCGCCGAGTCCGGGGGCGTGTGGAGGGGAGTCCGATCTACGAGTCGGGGCAACGATGCTGGGTTGTGATTGGCATTGTTGTAACCATTGTTAACGGTTATTTCTGGTGCTGTCGTGCCGGTAGTGTTGGTGGTAGTGGTAGCCGTCGCGGTTGTCCCTGAAGAAACCCCTCCAGGTGCACCTCCAGCTGCTCCGGAAAACACTGTAGTCGCAGGAACAGTATTCGGCTGCTGCCAGAGAAACCCATCCTCATAGGTACACTGCACAGGGTTTTTGCTTTTCTGACACCGGCCGCAGATGGGATATTCGCGGTCGCAACGGAGCTTCCGGCTGCGACATTGCGTGCAGGCCATCGTACGGCGGCGCCTCTTTCTCGTGCGAGGAGGGTCGGAGGGGGGACCATGGCTGGAGATCTCGGTATTGTCATTCATGGTGGGTGCTTGTTAAGTCTGAATTGAGCATTTTCTTCCAGCCATTTCCTTGCTCGTCGTCCGTTTTTCTCTGGTTGATCGTAGCGGCGGCTCTTGATATCACGGGATTACGCGTGAGGTCCACCGGCTTAGATAACCATATTGGGAAACGCTGTCCGGCAGAGTTTTTTTGATTATTAGATTAGATCAGATTATCACTCTGGAGACTGGAATGCATAGTAGAGCAGTAATGTATGAGGGGATGGTGGGTTGTGAATGTATTACCATCGGATACAGAGTACGAATTAGTTACTCCGGTTAACTAGCCCATTGGCACATACTCGTCAGTCACCTCGTGCCTTGTCATGTTTGCCGTTGTAACCAGAACGCTGGAATTGATATGTCTGTAGTAGTTATTGCTTTTTTCTGGTGGAGCCTATCTACTACTATGTGCATCCCATCCGATCTACTGTTCTATAGCTTCAAGTACAGCTTCATTATAACATCGATGTCACGCTATTCTTGTCCAATGTCACCATAATCCTTCTATCTCTCCCAATAACAACCATTCCTTTATGCCCGTATCTATATTATTCTGCCTGTCGGAGAAAAGCTCGGGGTATCGGTGTCGGTGATATGATAGCGCAATTCCCTGGCTTATATCAAGCGCTTCGACCTCTCAAACGTGTTCTTTTTCAATCAAAGCACTGCTAAGGAGTACCTGTCACCATGTTTCGTTCGCTGCTTTCGTTTGGTGGTGCCCCGTGCACGCCAGAGTACATCTTTCCAACTGTTCAGCCGGGGGAGGATGGGCCGGATTGTCTTCAGGACTGTGCGGATTGTACTGTCAAGTATCCCAAGTTTAAGGTTGATGTGGTGAAACCGTTGTATGGGCATATCAAGGAATACAGTACCCATGTCCTGGTTGCCACGGGGCAGTCTGATTGGATTGAAAAGGTCAAGAGCGACAAAGGGAGTTTGATGGAGGCATTTGCGCAGAACTCTTCGAGGTCTAAACATGGAGTACGTTTTCTTCCAGGATAGAGAAAGCTTGCGATACTGACCTTGCCAGAAACTCATGGTCTCCGCATCTAACCTGCAAAGCCCCGAGGACACCGTAGAAACAGACTCGGACTCGGACGCAGAGAAAAAGAGCACCGTCCTGCTCCTCCCCTCATTCACATTCATCGATTCCGTCCGCTACAACAACGTCCCGGAGCTAATCGACCGCTTCATCAACTCTCCATCCCCTGACCCGCAAGCCAATGGCCATGATACTCAAATGACCCCCCGGGCCTGTCCCCACGACTATGTCATCCTCCTCTGCTCCCACCGACGTCGCGACGCCCGCTGCGGTATCACCGCACCTTTGATCAAAAAAGAGCTTGAGCGCCATCTCCGGCCTCTGGGTTTATACCGCGACGACAGCGATGAGAGACCCGGTGGTGTCGGGATCTATTTCGTGTCGCATGTTGGTGGGCACAAGTATGCTGCGAACGTGCTAGTGTACCGGAAACAGGAGCAGCAGATGATTTGGCTTGCTAGAGTGAAGCCGGAGCATTGCGAGGGAATTGTTCGGTATACCGTGATGCAGGGCAAGGTGGTGCATCCCGAGTCACAGTTAAGAGGAGGATTCGATCGGTTGCGTGGGGTGACTAGTTGGTGATATTCATATTCGGCATAGCATCCTGCATATATATAGTGTCTTCATAGTTCCTATCCTAATAATAGAATCCATTGTTCGTTGCCATACCCTGGTCCAAAAATCGGAAGAATCCCAAAAAGGAAAGTTGGATAAAGCCCCGACGCGGCGTCACCGCGTCAAAAGTCACGCGTCACCGGGTCACGTTTTCTACTCCGCGACTTGCACAGAACTGATTACCAACCTACATATCCTCAAGCGCATTGAATTGGACAGTCTCTGTTATATACTCTCTGTCATGCAAAATGGCCACAGCTACCCTCGCGGCTACAGATCTCCGCGCTGAACTGAAGGAATGGGAGCGCGCTTTTTCGGCTGCTAATGGGGGGAGGAAGGCCGGACGGCATGATATTAAGAACAATCCTGATATTGGTATGCTCACTGGATATACTCATTTAGAGAGAGCCTTGCTAACACTGTCCACTGTCAGCCGCCAAATACAAAGCCTACGGCCGCATGAAAGCCCTCGAATCCGCAGCCGACAAAGACACGCACCACGACCAGAACGAAAGCACACTAGAAGAACGACCCAAGAAACGAAAACATACCTCCCCAACCGGTCCTGGACACGAACAATCCGACGCCGCTACGCCCCGGAAATCAAATAAAGGAATCTTCGCGACCCCCTCACGACCACGAACAAACCATCCCGCCGATATAGATCCCTACGACTCTCCTTCAGTATTGCGCCGATTATTCAGTCCCAGTACGCATCAGCAATCTACACCGCTCAAAGCTGCCGTTGGACCTACGCCGCAGCGCGATGGGAAGGCATTGGGTTTGTTTGATCTCCTATCCGAGTCTGGGGGTAGTACCGCGACACCGTCTGCGGCTCGGATTGCTAGTCTGGAGGGAGCAGCAGTCCAGACACCATCGAGACGAAACCGCATGGAAACAATCGCCGAAGAGGACGAGGAAGAAGAAGAAGAAGAAGAAGAGAACCCCCGCGGCGGACGAACGCCCGTATCATCAGGGAAAAAGCTCTATCTGGAGAATCTGTTCGCGACACCCACGACGATGAAATACGCCGCGATGGTAGAAGACGAGGAAGATCGCAGACCAACCGGCGCCAATGTCCAAGCTGCAGCGGCTGCAGCATCAGCGAACAGGAGAGTAGCTGGTCCGGGCGAAACACCATCATTCCTACGACGCTCGAATGCGGGACGGTCGTTTAATGTGATGGATCCGTCGACTGGTGGGTTGAGCCCGATTGCTGCGCGCAAACCACCGCAGTTCGTTGGGAAGGGTCTTTCGGCACTCGTGCAGGGACTGCGGGATATGGAGGAGGAGCGGATGGAAGATGACATGGATGTATTGCGGGAGCTTGAAGCGGAGCAAGATGCCATGGATAATCCCGAGGTCGACGTGCAAGGTAGCCAGGCAGGCGGCGCTGGTCGAAAACCATACAAGAAGAAGGGTCAGAAGAGGACTACTCGCCGTGTACGCATGAAGCCGGTTGTTGTCCCGAAGGCACGGACGAAGTTGGCGGAACTATCTGGTGACGAGGAGGATGAACAAGCCGCGATTCCGGAGACTCAATTCCAACAAACCGAAAACCACTTCTCTGAAGATGACGATGCCGACGACGCCTCCCTACACAGCATCTCCGAGCGCGAATTAGAAGACTCGGACTCAGACCCCGACTTCGACGAACCCGTCACGAAGACCAAGAGCTTCGCCGAAAAGATGAAAGAAGCTATCTCCGCAGACTCCAAGAACAACCCACAAGAGTCGTCTCAATCATCCGAAAAGGCAAAAGAAAAGGCAGAGCAAAAGGAGAAGGAAAAGAAAGACAAGGAGAAGGAAGAGAGTGCTAAGCCTCGCCCGCGCAAGGTTAACCCTGAAGCGCATGCGAATTACCGCTCTCTTAATATTAGGAATAAGAATACTAAAGGACGGGGCGCTGGACGCTTCAGGAGGAGATAGAGGGCATTTATGAGGGATGATTTTGCATTGTTGTTATAAGAGATACCAGGTTTAGTATATAAGGCATTATCCATAGCATAATCGATCTATCTATTCGTCGCATCATGATGTTCTATACTGTACAGGTTTAATCAGGGATATACCTATCCCGTGCGGACTGCAATCGTCGAGCCTGTGTCAACGCATCTCGCGATCTCCCTTGATCATACGGCCTTCTTGAAGAATACGGCTTCGATCCCCTTCCACGTCCAGAGCGCCTATCAGGCCCAAACACATGAGTGGAACGACGATCAGACTCAAGCCCTCGTGGACCTGGCCCTCTCGGAGGCGTCCCTATCGTATCCTCATACTGCACATTCCGATCCCAGTCCTCGAGAGACATATAAGGACTCCGCAACCAAGACGACAACTCGTGCAGAAACAAACGAGCATTATCCCTTCCCACAAAATCACGTAGTAATTCTTCTGCCTGTCCAGCGCTCCCTTTCACATCGACTGTGCGGAGAATCGCAATGACATACTCAAGTAGAAACTCGGCGTTATTTCCGCGGCGGTTTTCTAATCGTTGCTGTCCGGGACGGGGTACTCGGTTATTGCGGTTGGGTCCTGCTTCTCCGTCTTCTTCTTCGGGGTCAGGGTTTAAGAAACTGAATACGCGCAGCTCGCGACGGATCCATTTCCTGGCGCGCGATACTAGCTGTTCGTCGTGGTTGAAGAGTTCGGGTGTTAATTCGCGGTATTGCGAGAGGCGGTTCGAGCCAACGCGTAGGGAGTATAGTTGGTTGCGATAGACATGTCTTCGTCGCAGGAGGGGATCGTCCGGTTCTGGTGCTCGGGGGCGTTGCGCTTCTCTCAGAGGACGGCCGCGGTGGAAATCCGGTCGATGCGGACGAGGCGCCGGTGGTGCTGTTGTAGACGGGGGTGTAGTAGAAGGAGCCGGAGGAGGTAATTTATAAACTTTAGGACCTTCAGCAGCGTTCAGGTCGTATTTCACGGAGATAACATCCTTCTTGCCTGCGCCGCGTTAGAGCCTGTATCTTCAATCTGTTGCCGCTGGGTAGGTATGAGATCATACACAGAGGGCAACTCGGCCGCTGCTCCAACCAACTCAACAAGCAGAGAAAATCAAAATTCGCATGTCCGCACGGTATAGATACCCCCGGCTCTGCGATCGCATCAAGACATATCACACACGGATTGGCCGTTCCTTCCTCTTCCGCGTCTTCGTTCCGGTGGTTATGATGCTTCTCCTGCGCTACTTCCTCCAGCGTCCTTTGCAGAATCTCCTGCCGCAGTTCGACATCATCAGGCATCAGACACACAGCGCTAACAACAAATATCCTCGCGAGACGGTGAATGTATAGTGACAGTCCATGCTGTGGCGGAGGACAGTGAATCCAAGTTGCCCCCAGTCGCGGTCACGTTTTTGGCGTCTTATGGCAAAATCTCCCCGACCGCCCGCGGCCAAATTGATGATTGCCAGTGATCTTACAACCAAGGCAAACACAACTACGACAGCAAGCAAATGCTCTGACGAGGACGGGAATTCCCTATTGCCGGACAAGTGGGACGCAATGAAGTCCGCCAAAGCAGTTGTCTCTGAGAACCGCTATGCTGCTGGTTTGGACCCTCCGCAGCTACCGTCGCGGACGATAACGGGTTTGAAACGGTGGTCGATTGCGAATCGCGAGTTACCAGGTGAGTTATTGTCTCTAGTAGAAGGAGGGACACGGTTTGCTAACTGGGCTGGCAGCGACCCCGCAGGTAAAAGCTATTCATGTATACGACTTCGACAACACATGTAAGTGCTCTGGGCTTATCGCACTCAACAGTGTTGACATGAGTCAGTATTCTTGAGCCCTCTCCCCAACCCCCAGCTATGGAACGGCCCGACCATCGGATTCCTACAAGCATACGAGAGCTTCGCCAACGGAGGATGGTGGCACGACCCCAATCTCCTCGCAGCTACCGGAGAAGGACTGGAGAAAGAAGAACCACGCGCCTGGGAAGGCTGGTGGAATGAGCATATTGTGTGATCCTACGGACGCCCCTTCCGGTATGGGCATATTCACTGACTTGTGTCAGGTACGGCTGGTCCAGCTGAGCATGCAGCAAAAAGATGCCCTCACGGTTCTTCTGACGGGTCGGAGTGAGAATGGCTTCGCTGACCTCGTCCGGCGTATGGTGGATAGTAAGAAGCTGGAATTCGACCTTGTCTGCCTCAAGCCGGAAGTCGGGCCCAACAATGAGCGATTTGCAACTACCATGGAGTTTAAGCAGGCGCTTCTGGAGAATCTCATTCTTACCTATGAGCAGGCTGACGAGATTCGCATTTATGAAGACCGTGTGAAGCAGTGAGTTTGTACCTGGGTATTGAATGAAGAAAGTCTAACTCAAGCAGTGTCAAACGTTTCCGGGAATGGCTTGAACAGCTTGATCGGAGATTACCAGCTCTACAAACCACCGGGTCAAGGCGCTTCCTCAATTTTGATGTGATTCAGGTAGCTGAAGGTTGCACGTATCTCTCCCCTGTAGTCGAAACCGCTGAGGCACAGCGCATGATCAACTCTCACAATACCATCATCTCACGCAACCCAAGCCTCAACATGACCAAGTCGCCATTTGGCCGACTTTGCATAAAACGCACCATCTTCTATACTGGGTATCTGATCTCCAACACGGACTCGAATCTCTTGATTGATCAGTTATTGCTCCCAAACCTGCCCCACGGGCTTGCTGATTCCAATGATCTCAAATATATGGCTAATAGCATACTAATCACGCCGCGTCCTGCGCCCCGGTCCATTCTGGACAAGGTTGGCGGGATGGGCAAGAAGCTTAGCTGGCAGGTTACTGGGACGGCAGTGTATGAGAATAGGGTCTGGGCGGCTCGTCTGACTCCTATACCTGCCCATGAAAAATACTACACTGACAACCCGTATCCCATTGTCGTCTTGGCGGTGCGCAGAGGCGCCCGTCCTATTGACGCAGGAAAGATTCAGAACTGGAACCCGGTGCCAGCTGATCGCGCATTGACTCTTGATACAGTGGTCGGGGAGAAGGTTGTTCTGCGCGTGGAAGAAGAGATTCCCAACGAAGGTGAATGGGAAAGCCAGTTCACCAACAAGAACAATAAGAGGCGTCACCAGCAGGAGCGTGAAGAGGATACCCTATACCCACAGTCGCGTCAGCAACCCAATGGCTACACTGGACCGTCACCCAATAGGCCGCGCCATCATGACGATGGGCCCCGTCGTGGCGGGTATCGCGGTCGAGGACGCGGCAATGGGCCACGGGGACGAGGCTCTAACCGTGGAGGACGTGGTAGAGGCCGTGGACGTGATACCGGTGCCCATCCGTTCTATAGGTCGCTTGACGACTATGGACATGAAGGAGGAGATGACAAGCCGGGATCGGGTGTGATGAATTACTAGTCTTTGGTTCACGGTTCTTCTTTCTCATTTAAATTTTGGCTGGTTTGCGCGTTTAATCTACGGCTTGCAAGTTTTATGCATTTAGAGTCTGTATCTTTATTCAGTGGGCACGGCGTGTATTCCGGGCGTGGTTGATATTTGATGCTGCATATGCTATCTAAAACTGCTTTTGTATTCAAAGGTTGATATTGGTCATATTCAAAGCCAAATAGTCTTGTATTCAAATGCATTTACGTTTATTGAATGATGCTAGAATGACTTTCAAGTGACAACTCAGATTCCTCCATTGCCCAGTACAATTGACACTTCACCAACCAATACTATACGAGATACAACCGCTGTTGGTCACAGCATGGCTGCAAGTTTCACACTGTCTACAGTCTATACTACCAATATAAATCCAACCCTCTCTCTTCCTAACCTACACCTCTCCACTTCCAATTACTCTATACATCATCTAACACCGAACTAATCATCAGCTAGCTTGACCAGCATCATGGCATCTCATTATAATCTAGTAGATTACGACTCTGACACCGAACGCACCACAAACCCCTCCATCCCCCTCGAAAACCTAACCTCAGTAGCCCTATTCCTCACCTCCCTCACCCACTCCAACATCCCCTACGCGATAATGGGCGGTTTCGCCGTCCGCCTCCTCGGCGGGACACGCATGACCCGCGACGTTAATATCGCGTTCCAGACTCCCGGTAAACTTTTAGAGGGGGAAAGGAGGCTGGTTGTGCCGGGTACGAGGCTTATTTGTAATATTATGAAGGTTTTTGTGTGGACGGGGCCGGGGTGGGATGGATGTGGGGTTGGGTGAGGGTTGAGGTTGATTGGATTGAGAGTGGTGAGTCTTTTTTCTATGTGTGGGCTTGATTTGTTGGGGCTGACGGGGGTATATGGGGGGGGTTCAGAATAGTCCCCGGGACTTGAGTGTGAATCGGAGGGAGGTTATTATCGAGACTAACCCTGATTCTGACTTGGATTCGGGCTCTGACTCGGGTGAGGATTCAGAGGAGCAGATGATATATGTTCTTGAGATATTCTATCTGTTGCGCGGCAAGATGGCAGCATTTCAGACTTGACAGGGTAGCCATGACTTGATAGATATCCAGCATATTGTGCGGACGCTTACAGAAGAAGTTCGAGGTTCTGCGGACCAGTTGGAGCCAGATGCTGTTAATGTTTTGCTTGAGCATCGGCCTCGTTGGAGTGCGCTTTCGGTTGTTGCATGCGATGACTGGCATATGGGTTGACGTGTTAATAGAAAAATATGAGAACAATATGATCTGTCATAGAACCAAAGGTAGTATCCTATAACCCAGGCACATACTTCCCCCGCGGATCCCCCGACCCATGTCTTCTAAACCTAGTAGCATAAACCTCCTTCGAATACTTCTACCCCGTCCTCCTCTGCTTAGCCTCCACGTACTCCTTCCACATCTTCCTTCTTTCAACAGGCGTAGGATCAATCGAGATAAACATCTCATCAACACCATCTTCTCGAAAAGCCTCGTAGAAGTTTTCCAGTCAGGCTATATCTGTGTACCCTTCAAGATCGAGATTCTGCTCTTCCCATTCTTCTGAGGTTTTCATGCCGTCGATTAGGTCTTCTAGGTCCACGCCGGTTTTGGTGTCTAGGAGGCTTTGGGTGTAGATTGGGAGATTGGGATGGGGAAGACCGCCTGGTTAGGATATAGTCAGTTATATGGCTATCTTTGGTTCTTGGGAGGGAATGAGCTTGGCTCCATTCTATATTATCAGATTTGCAGATGGTATGGCAGTAACTCGCCGGCAGGAGTAACCAGAAACCAGTCCTCCCGATTGCCTTGAACCGGGAATACTTGTGACTCAACAAGCCAGGCCTTCTAAGGGGAAGAGGAGCACAGGGGTTTAATATATCATCCCGAGATGTCAATGGTTGGATGGCACGTTGATGCTGCTCGTCTGGGACACATAGTATACGATCCTGCTGGAGTCAACAACTACACATACACAAATGAATGGAAGAGTACGTACATTAGGCAAGCGCCTTGTACCATAATAAACCAGTGCATATTCCTGAACGAAACAACAGCATATGCCCGCATCTATAAGTATGGAGACTATGGCTGAGATTTGTTCGGGAGAGGCGTGTGCGTCGCCTTTGTCTCCGATGGCGAGGGGGTGGAATGCGGGGGAGATTATCGGGTCTTTTTTGAGACTCAGCCATTTTTATAGCTACTCGGGGAGAGATGCATGTATGGGGAAGTGCAGGAGTGGTAAAGTGGACGTGCTTATGTGGTGTCGGCGCTAACCGGAAACGGTAATTGTATAGATGACATTGTATGGGGTATGTTTTGTTTCCTAGCACTTTTATGGCCGGTCTACGAGACGCTTGTACTATTGAATCATGATAAAACATTTTTGCAGTATTGATTTACATCTTCACCATCCAATCTCGACCATCAATCCCCAACAACCGCCTAGCAAACCTCCCCGGTTCCTCTCTAGCTTTATCAAAAACTCCATCAGGCTCCCTAAACCTCCATAGCACAATCCCATCCGGCCGCACAAGAACAGCACCGTTATTCTCAACCTCATTGAGTTCCGCCCAATCAACCTCCCCCGGCCCAGATTCCGGGACAACAACCTCAACATGCACCCAGTCACTGCAATGCCATCCAGGGCTGAGCTGCCATTGTAACGAGAACACATTGATTCTTTCCGCTGGAATTTATTACCAGATCCCTTGTTGAAACCCGTCTATCTCCCTTTAGCACCCACGCGTGCGGGAGATGGTGTCCTGGAATCGCAGACGGGTGATAAGTCGTGATATCGAATTCACTGTCTTCTGTTAATTGTCCTCCGTGGCGCGTTCTAGCACCTTCATTATCGATATCACAACTGGGATAGAACCACCCGACTTCGAATCCCAGGGCACAGAATTCTCGATCCAGGATCTTCTGCACATCTGCTATATTCACTCGCAGTTCATATCCATTGGGGTTCGTCTTGTCAAGATACGCCTGCAAAGACCGAACATTATCTCCCAGAGAAGCATTAGGACTAATCCCCAAAGCAGTCAACGACGAGCATATGCTGACGGAAATCCGAAAGACTGATTTCAGCAACGTGGTGAGCAAGCGGCTTGCACTCTTCCTCGTACGTATCCAGCCATCTATGCAGTTTCTCCTCCTCCCTTGTACCCTGGGCGTTTAGGGCAATGCCCAACTTCCAGACTAGATTTTGCACATCTTGCACACCGGTATTTAAGCCCAGCGCGCCCCAAGGCGGAATCCGATGCGCGGCATCACCGACGAGAAATGCTCGACCACCTTTACTGCGATAGCGCTCCGCGACAATGGCGTTGATGTTCCAGTGACTTATAGATTTCAAATCCACCTCCAGCCCTGGGATCTTCAGCGTCCGATGGAGACGCTCTAGCATAGCATTTTCATCAAACCCACTCACCTTCTCATGAGGTAGCAACGCACAAGCGAATATCCACTCCTCGTTCTCAGGCGTACTCGGATACGGCCCGACATGGTACATAAATCCCGTGTGAATACTCCCGCCCAACTCCGGATCAATAAACCACGTAATTAACGCGTGCAGATTCGGATGATACAGACTGATCGGTGCCCTGAAATGCGCAGAAACCATATTCGCAATATCCCGCTCACCTTGCATCTTGATCCCCAGTGCATCAGCGACGAAACGGCCGCCGTCTGCTGCGATGACATATTTCGCTTCTTCAATTACCTCTTTCTCTTCCCCTTTCTCTTCCCCAGCAGATGAACGTGGATTTGTATACCTCACACGCACCCTTACCCGATCCCCAAGCTCCTCGACCCCAAGTACCTCCGCACAATTTCTAACCCCACCCGGAATCCTCTTCCTCGCCCGTCCAAACAGCACCGGCTCCAACCGTATCTGCGGACAAACCATATACCCCCCAGGAATCGGACTAACCCCCTCATATACCCCCCTATACACACCCCCACCCCACGCATCCCTCGTAAACACCTCCTTCCCTTTCCCACCTCCATCCGGTGCCAAACTCGTATACCAACCTGTCTGCGAGACTGTCTCCGGTGGCGCGGATACACCAAGTATATCCTCTTGCAAGCCGAGCGAACGGAAAAACTCGATCGTACGGGCGTTTAGGCCGACTACTTTCGGGAATATGGAGGTGGAGGGGTGTTTTTCGAGGAGGAGATGCGGGATGGGGATGGATTGGTGGGAGAGGGAGAGGGAGGTTGTTAGGCCGGTTGGGCCGCCGCCTATTATTAGGATGGGGTACATTTGTTGCGTTCTGTTTTGTGGGTTCTTGTAGGTTGAGGTTAGAAGTATGGTTTTAGGAAGAATACAGTATCCGGGGACAGTGGTAGCAGCAGCAGTTTATACACATATGGCACTGCTGCTCCGTACTCCGTACGGAGTGGAGTAACTATTTAACATTGAATATAATTGACTGCTCTCCTCAGCTGGATGCAAGCTTGTCGTGACAGTTCACAGCGCGTACTTCCCTGCATGCGCATGTTCAGGTGTGCTTGGGGTTATATAAATAGGTATGCGCATTATTCCAATATCCGAGAAACGGGCAATGTCTCTGGTTTTCGAGCGGGGTTGGTTTTATAGGATGGACAATGTTGGTCTGTATGGAGTACATGTAGGGGTATATATACGTCGACAAGGTTGAGCTTATGTTTATTCTCCGTACGGAGTACATTAAAGATTGATTGATGGTGTTGCGGTATCGCAGACTATCAATTGATGTGAATATATTGCGAGACATGCGATCATATTTGCCGACTTGATCTAATTATTGGATCTTACCTGAGATGTGATGTATGCAAAGACTATGCGACACATTGATATAGAGTAGCAGGCCGTACCATTCAAGTCTATATAAACCAATCCAAAATATAATCACCAGACAAATTCATTATTGAGACTTTCATTTGTCAATTCGTCTCGGGATATCTCACAAGCCCAATTCCAGCATATCCCATCCATTATCCTCCCAATAACCATAAACCATAACTATAAACATAAAGCGCAAAACAAGGGGGGAATAAATCATCAAGCATGTCAATTTTTATACATCAAACATGAAAAGGAGAAAAAGAGAAAAAGGACATCAACGAGACGAAGCGAATAAATCATGGCAGATATTCATCTCGTGTGGGGTTATCATAAAAAAAAAAAAAAAAAAAGAACCATTCCATATCCCATTCAACATATTATGTCGTAGCGGTTCATGTCGAAATGAAAATCAAGAGTTATAACAAACCGGGGTAAAAAAGGTTAATGACGGGGAAATAAAAAACGAACGTCGTCCCATATCAGATGCGGCGTTGGCGTCGTGTATAAGTGGATTATGCTTCTTCTTCATCGTCCGTCAATTGCCGGATCAGCCTGATACTGAGAATCATCACCAGCAGGCCTATTGTCGTCACCACCATTAAACCGAACCCAAACCAGCCGAGTACCATGGCTGATGAGCCGACGCCGCTCTTTACACTGCCGTTGCCCATATCTTGGGCTATGGTACTGGCTGCCACGGACGCTGTATGTTGCCATAGCACTGAGACGAGGATGAAGACACACGCGATGAAGATGAGCGCCAATGCGACTTGCGAGACCGCTCGTGAAGGGAACGGCTTCACTTCCTTCTCTGACCCGGTACCGTCGACCTCCTCGTGCCATCCGGGGAAAGTGGCAAGGAGAATAAAGCAGAAGAATGCCAGAATAACGGCGATGATCCTAATCTCAGTTAGTTATGCACATAGAAAAGCATGTAAAAGGGCACATACAGTAAATACGGGAACACGACGGCATCTTTAAACGTCGCCGCAACCCAAATCAAGTTCAACGGATCCTGATCAACCGTAACAACCTCGGCCAGCGCTGTCGCGTTCGAGTTGCAGATGTACGATCCTCCTCCAGAAGGCTGGATGCAGATTCCAAAATACCCCACCCGAACCTCCATCGCTGCTCCTCCCACGATGTTTGCTGTTGCCGTGACCACACCAGGGTCCACCTGTGCAAGGTTGAAAGTAGGCTTGTATCGTTCGTAGTACATCGAAATGAGGAAGATGTCGGGGATTTGTGGTGACGACGACGAGCATCCGGCCAATAATAGAGCTGTTATGACATGTTAGCTGCAACTTCACACCCACGTGGACGCCAGGCATATCTTACATAGCAGAATAATTGCAACGGCAATGATAATCATAAGAACATGGTGGTAACCGACCATAGGAATAAAGCCTAGAACATGTTAGCATTCTTCGAATCTACTACCCGTCATGCCAGAGAGATAAACATACGGGCGAACCCTTGAGCAATGTTGATCGCCATGTTATCGGATGGTCGTCAAGCTCTTTTCGATCTTTTCCTCTTTCTTTAACAAATTACTCACTTCCCGGGTCCCCGAGAAGGAGCGATCGAATCGAATTGCTGGTCGCGATAGTGGGCGAAGAGATCGAACAACTGGTCACCTCGTGGAGCCGTCAAAACACCTGAGCCAGTGATGTCGGACAGAGATAACAGCAAGTCGTATAGAGGAATGCCGGGGCAACGTGGAATGGAATGTGGAGGACCAGGTGTTATCTGGACGAATCGATTAAAGGAATGCAGTCCTTCTCGACCTGGAAAAAGACCGAATCTTGTCAGGCACACACAACAAAATCAATAATCTGCAAGCCAGACCGCCAGAGATGTAACAGCAACAGCAGCAGCAGCAGGAGAGCAAACGGAAGCAGAAACCGAGAAAGTGAGAAAAGAAAAGAAAAAGAGAGGGAGAAGGGGAAAGGGGAGAGAGAATGGGAGAAGAGATCGTAGACTCCGTCACACTTAGCCCCGTAATCCTGAATCGACCGTCTTTACTCTTTCCTGACGAATTGAAATGTCAATTGGCGTGGGTTTATTGTGGTGGCTGGTATGCGTGTTCGTACCTGACTGACTCTAGTATACAAGGAGGCTGGGCCAACCGCCTTTTGTTTACGGCGGTCTGGTTTCCCGGTAACCGCTACTCACCGCCTGCTGTTTCAGCTCCCACACTAGGCCTATTCAGGGATGATCTGGGAGCTAGAGCCAATTATGGTTGGTTCCGGAGATACTGTAGACCCGGTACCACCGCCTATCATCACGTGCCTCTCCCAGCCCCCCGATTTATCAATCTTTTTAATGCGACAAAATAACATTTGAGTGATCTGCTGTTCTAAATTGAGTATGTATCGTGGGCCTATTCGTCCCTTGCGAGCTCCCTTGGCACCGTCTGAATCAACGATCCAACCTAGATACAGGCACAAGCTGTCTAACAATGTCCAAGATAACCTACTATGCCCCGCGCAATGCAAAACCATACAAAATGATTATGAAAATCTGTCCAATAAACTCCCAAAACTCCGTCTGCATACAATGCTGAAGTATCCATATACAATGCTCCTAATCTGTAGTCCCCGATGCGGTAAATGAGAACTGTTTCAGGTCAAGTGAAACCGGTCCCTGGCTGGCACCGGAGTCATTAGAATTGTCGTCCTCGCTTTCGTCCTCGCTGTTGTGGATAATCATGTCTTCGCTTCCCTGAGCGCCAGAGACTTTGGGCGCGTCCAGACGTTGACCCGTTGCGCTACTTGTGTTGCAGGTGGAAAAGGTGGGCGGAGGAACAGTCCTGCTACCAGGAAGAATCATGGATCGAGACCGGGAGAGAGCGCTTTGTCCCAGGCGCTGCAAGGGTGTCGATCGTTGTCGTCGGGTTGGGCTTCTGCGGGGCCCCAATAAGAGGCCTGCAGGTGATGTTCGGGGCGATTGAGCGTTCATTGCCCCAAGGGAAGGTTTCCTGGAGATACCAGGACTGTCACTCGGCTTGAAGGCGAATTTGGAAAGTATAGATGTGTTCTGTCGTTCGACGTGATAATTCAATACTTGATGAAAAGTTTTGCTTTTCGAGTCGACGCTGACGGACTTTTCGGGAGTAGGCTCGGGCACGGTATCCTCAGGAATGGTAGACTCAGAAACAGTAGTGCTTTCAAAAGACTCTTCTTTTCGTCCATCATCTGCTGGCTCCGCGGTAGGAGTAGCAGGGGCTGGCGCCACCAAATCAGCTTCCCGCTCGCCAGCCATTTTGCATGGAGTTTGGGTCCAGTTGGGCGATACATCTGGCTGGGTCGGATCCGGCAGTTCAGACATGATGTCCTCAGCACTATCGTCGGAGAAAACACCAATGGTCGACTTTCGCGCTCTCTCCGACTTCATGCTCTTCTGCCCGCTGGGACTCAATTCTCCATCCTTATGCACAAAGAACCGGCTGCGGCAGTTGGCGCGAGTTGGCAAGGACCCTTCCTCGACTTCGGAACAAAGCCGTTGTCGCTTCGCTGGCTGGAAGGTCGATGCTTTAGAAGCCTGGGCCAGGAAAGAGTTGCGTTCCACACTTCTTGCCAATGGGCTTGAAACTCGTGTAGTCTGAGAGCGACGGAGAGACGGCACTGATCTAGCAGCATTTAGCCCTGCTGGCGCAGGACTGCTGTCCCAGGAGCTGTTTGAATAACGTTCTAGGAGCCGTTGCTGGCTCGGAGATGGTGTCAGGCTGTTGGGATCCAACTCAGCTAGAGGCATCCGTTTCGGAGTGAAGAAAGTGCTGATTGGTTTATTCGGTTTCGGTTTCAATTCAGCTGATGAGCCAAGGGTTTGCCGGCGTTGGATGCCGAGCGCAGGCTTGCTCGGGGCAAGTGGCTTCAATACAATCGGCTCCTTGGTCATCGGATCAAGATCCCCACGAGCCACTCCTACTGCAATATCTGCATCGACATCGCCGCCAATATATGGCAGTTCATCTAGGTTGACATCGTCCTCAGGCGGGGTGAGAGTCGCCAACTTCCCAGCTTTCGGACAGAACACCCTCTGATAAAGAAACGTGAGTTCGGCTTGTTTAAAGTTGTCGAGATAATCCGCCGGAACACGATACTGCCCTTCAAACTGAAGCATTCGAAGGGCCTTCTCCACGTTTTTGTATTTCCTGATACAACGATAGGCGGTTTTTAACCCGAGTCGCGCAATGTTAGGCAGGTAGTCACACCCGCTAAGGATGCACATCCGTCTGAAGTCCGCGTCTGTCCATCCGATCAGACTGACCTCACGACAAGCTGTAAAGTCCGCCCTGTTAATCTCGATGAAGTCACCGTGCTGGTCGAGTTTAGATAGTAGCCTCTTCGCACCAAAGACAAGAAGATCCGAGTCTTCGGAGATAATCCCGTCGATCATACCATGGCGCTCCAGGTACACCAACTGCGCATCAGCCTCGTATGGTGCCACGACATACTGCACGTTCATCTTCTTCAACTCCTCGATCAATTGGCGGGCCATGTAGGGGGTCACGTCCACCGCCTTTTGGAACTCTTGATATGCCTCCGCCATTCGTCCTTTTTGTTGAAGTTCCAACCCAAGAGCCTTGCTCTGCTGTCGTCGTTGGTGACGATCAGACTCGGTTCCGGATTTGCTCGGTAGATCATCGCCGTCGAAGACAAGGTATGGTGTGACGCCAAAATAAAGAAGCATGCGGACACGGTTTAGGACGAAGTCGATGTGCCTGTTTCGTTAGCTGCATGTCACAAAACGCATCCAATAGGAAACGTCATACTTAGTCGTAGGCTTATCAAGCACCAGATCAACTGCACATGCAACTGTACCCCGGTGCAGCCACCCATACGCATCCACTCCCAGTGTCTGGCCATCGAACTTCTTCAAGTGACATGGCTTTTGGATTGATTTGAGAAGACCATGGAGACCTGCCCATGTCAGCCATCTCCCTCACAACACCAACTGATCGTCCCACCTTTAATGCCCATGATTGTGGGCCTATTGCAGGATCAAGATGGTCTTCGTCTGGATTACCTGCACAGCAGGAACGGGCATGGGGAGTTAAAGCTCCAAAACAGGCGCAAAAACAAAAAGGGTGGCGTAAACAAGCAAACGAGACAAAATAGACCAACTCCACTGGCCTATGTACAAACCAACCCCAAACGACAGCCAGGACAACGAAGGCTGGAATGTTGCTCTTCTTTCAGGCCGACGCGCAGACGCGATGCCTCCCTCTTTGGGAAGCCGTGCTGTCATTGGTCGTCTCCGGGCGGTGTTGATAGCCGTTGCCACCGCCCTACTATTCTGCCGGCGGAAAGAAACGACGAAAAAAGAAGGAAAAAAAATTCGAGGAAACAGTTCGAGTTCATATTTCGTCCGAGTCGTTCTCGTTGGTGAGAATCGGGATATTATCACCATGCCGAAGTCATTCAACAAGGTACACAAGCAGATCTCAAAGAAGCGGGGGGTGCTTGAGGGGCTTCATGAAAACAGTCGAGATGCGAAGAGATTGCACCGGGCCAATTCAAGAGACGATCGAGTGGCTCGGATGCACACCAAGATGGCCAGAGGGAGGAATTCATACCGTATGCTTCTTCGCGCATCACTGTCTATGCAGCGCTCTGAACTAACATACCATAGTTGACCGCATACTCTACTTTCAAGAGCATGTCCCCGAGGGATCAGGGCCGTTTTCCGACGACGATATCAGAGAGTTGGTGACGAGGTATGCTTCTACTTTATAGAACCTGTCAAGCATATGCGCGTATACTCACTGCGCATTCATAGACACATCAACCGCGACGTCCCCGAGATCGAGCAATTACAACACGAACGGCGCAAAGGTCGCCCCCCATCGAAGCGTGAAGAGGCCCTGCTACAACGCACCGACACTGAGAATAAAGAGCTGAAGACCGGGTTTTGGATGCCTGACTTGAGCAACGAAGATGTGGTGAAAGTGCTCCCCCGATGGAACCAAGTCTGGTCGAGTCTCAGTGCGATGAAGTTTATCCGGTTTACGCACGACGGCGGGAAACAACCTTCGACATTTCCTCCAAAGGGTCTTTCTTGATTTGTCTATTGATTTCCTTTTGAAAAACGGTGGCTTTCGTTGATATCCATACTGCTATGATGCGGAGTATATGATTGATGGGACATAGACGGCGTACAAAAGTACATTATTTACAGACTATATGAAAACTATCATGCCATTGTAAATAAATGAACAGCCAAAATATAATAAAATAAGGGAAACACACCTTTTCCAGACTGTCCTTGTTGCTCTCCGTACTATGTATACATTTTAGCAGCGGACTGGCGTCAGTTCTTGGCGGAGGTTAACATCATAGTTTTTGCCGCTTCCATCTTCCACTCTACACCTCAACACTCTTCTTCACCCTCCAATACCAGCTCTATTATTATCCTTACGTACTATAGAAATGCTCTCCCTCCGCACTCTTGTCCGCTCGGTGCCTCGCACTGTCTCCCGCTCCATCGCCAGCTCCGCACCGTCCGCTGCTCTGCGTCCCGGGTCGACAGTCCCCAAGTCTCTGTTCCAGTCGCAATTGAAGCAGGTTGCAAGACCCTCCTACGCTGCTTTCTCGACCTGCCGCGCTTTTAGACAGGCTGCTGAAGGTACGATATACCCTATATACTTGGATGTGGAAGCTGTGATGGAAAATTCTTCCGATCACTCGTGGCAGCTAGAGCTCTTCGTCATGAGGTCTCTGAAGTACACAAGCTAACAATCTGTGTTTCTCATTTTTCCAGGTGATGTGGAACTGGCTGCTAAGCTTGAGGATGAGCTGAGCCACGAGAAGGCTTCTGGTCTGAACGATCTGGAGACCTCCGTCCAGAACATCCAGTATGTTCTGCAGAACAACTCGTTCGAGGTATGCGCAGTCAACAACGGTGCTGTATATTAAGGCCTCCATGCTAATCGCAAACAGGTCAAGGATGTTCCCGGTGAGCAGGAGATTGTGTTGACCAAGAAGTTCAACAACGAGGAGTAAGTTCCTTCTTTCCTTTCCCCGGTAGATATCCGACTAACAAGACCCCGCTATGAACAGGATCCGCCTCACCTTCACCGTCGCCGACCTCCAGAACCTGACCGAACAAGAAGAGTTCGACGACGCTCTTGGCGACGAGCTGGACTACGAGGGCGGCCACCAAGCCGCCAACCAGGGTCGCCCTGGTAACGTCGCCCAGCACGCCGAGGACCGCGTCGCTCCCTCCGACCGTGAGCTGGACCCCCTGGACCGTGACGTCGAGCCCAGCTTCCCTGCCCGCGTCAACGTCACCATCGAGAAGCCCGGCAACGGCGCCCTTCTGATCCAGACCGTCGCCCAGGACGGTCTCTTCCAGATCGAGGAGGTTTCGTACTTCCAGAAGCCCGACCTTGCCCACGCCCAGACTGCCGAGAAGGACTGGGCTAGACAGAGCCTCTACGCTGGTCCTCCTTTTGAGAACTTGGATGAGGACTTGCAGACTTTCTTGGAGCGTTACCTTGAGGAGCGGGGTGTTAACGCTGAGCTCGCCAACATGATCCCTGACTACATTCAGGTTAAGGAGCAGAAGGAATATGTTCGCTGGCTCGAGAGTGAGTATCCTTGCCGTTATTTTTTAGATTTGGTCAGTTATCTAACAAAACTACAGACGTCCGGAACTTCGTTTCTGCTTAAGCGAGGCACGACTCGACACGCCTAATACACCTCTCAACTCTCTAACCCCTCGAATCTTCTAATCGTTATTATGCCACAAAACTATCCTCGCTTGATCTGTTATGTTTGTCGACATGTGTACCAATAGATATGAATTTGATGTATATGCACTCTCAATTGTTTCTGTAATCCTGCCTATGTAGCGTAAGGATTTGCAAGTAAAATCGAATTATAGCAGTTCATTTGCACACATAAAATAGTATATCATATCCTCAGTCCTCAAATATAAACACACAACACCAACGCCATGATCCTAAGCCCTTCAATCCGCTAATAAAAACCAAAAAGAGACTCAAAATTCCATACTCTCCGACTTAACCTCAGCACCCTCTTCATCCCGCTCCCGTTTCCCAGTACGTTCCTCCTTGATGAGACCAGCAATAAACGACCGGAAATAGTCGATATACGGTTTCAGGCTGGTCTTCTCATAATCCTGCAGCTTGCGACTCCCCCCCACGTCAGAGCCGTCGGGCACACTTCCCTCCGGCTCAGCAACCTCAGCGTGTGCGCCGTTCGAGGGGTGCTCTGCATCCCAAGCGTCAATTTCAGAAAGTAATTGCGATACTGTGGGAACAGAGAGGGGGTCGAATTGTTCGGCCTTCCGGCCGTCGATAGGGACACAGACGCGGCCGGTACCGGGGTGGATGACAAAGGGGCTCTTGAGCAGATGGATCATTTTCTTGCTGACTTCGGAATCGAGACGTGGGTAGGTGTATTCTAGAACGATGTCTTGTTTTGCGTTCTTGAGTGAGGTGGTGTTGAGGGATTTGCTCTGGCCGGATTCTGCTAGGGCGTCGATGTCGGCCCATTTGTTCTTGCTGGAGCGGCCGGGGGAGGAGGCCCATTTGCGGCGGAGGGCGTCATTTAAGGAGCCGTCGGGGAGGAGCGAGAGGAGTCGTTGTTCTTGTTCGGGACCTTCGAAGGTGTCTTGGTCGATGAGGGTGGTTTGGGCGAAGTAGGGTCTCAGGACCTCCAGACTTCGGGAGAGGTGCGGATGCAATGGCCGTTTTACATTCACACGCTTGCCGCCACCTCCTCCACGGATCACATCTAGATAACCCGCAATAGCTCTTCGTCGGTCATCGGGAAGGTTGCGAGCGCGTCGGTCGCAAACCCATGCGTGAGCACCACGACGACCGGAATATACCCACATGATATGCTCGAACCCGAAATCATCCCGTAGAGCAGTATCGACCACCTTCATCGCCATCGTTACAAACGACCAGCACTTCCCGCAGATATTCGCCTTTGTGCAACACGATCGGATGTCGTCGTAATCTGTCAAATCGATATCAAAAACCAATTCTTTCGAGACTGGCTTCATCTGTCCGCCGCGGAGGGTCTTCCGGTCTCGGGGGTTTGTGCTGTAAACAGGGCCGATTTCGAAACGAGAGGGGTTCATTCTTAGGATATCTTTGCGGAATCTGAAAGTAAACAAGTCAATATAGAGAGCCTGCTAGTTTTGTATCCGGGTCAACGTACAAGTCCGCAGTTGCATACGACTGATACCGCAGGTAGGCGTCATTTTGAAGTGTGAGCGCGAATTCCCGGTTACCGAAGTCAGGCGAAGGAACGACTCCGTGATTAAGCCACTGGAATAGGTAACGGAACGGGAACAAACGCTGGTAGAAAGCAAGCATCGTATCCGTGTCGACTTCGGGCGGTGGTGGTCCAGACGACCTACAAGGCGCATGGATTAGCGACTTCCTCCCATCTGGAATACCCGAAATAAAAAGTCGAATTCACCCAGGCATCTCTGATGTATCCATCTTCTCAGGCGCGCTCGATGCAGGGAATTCATCGTCGTCGTCGTCGTCATCAAACATTTCCTCTAGTCTCACTCCCGTTCCTTCCTGAGCGTTATTCGTGGCAGGCGCATCTTGCATAACCTCATCCTCGGCATTATCTGGAGATCGCGACTTATCCGGAGACACAGAGTGCGGCATGATGGCGTTGTGATTCTCAATTCGGTGTTTGTCTGTTTTCTGCGTCGTCCGTAGTAAACTCTCCTCTACTTTCCATAAACGCGGTCGACGCGCGACGGGACGCGTTCCCCGCAGCCCTGAGCCCTAGAATCACGTGCTCCGATAATCAACCACGTGACTTTAATGGCCCGGGCAACGTATAGTTACAACGTCGGGACTACAACTAACTATACACTACGAACAGATAAAAAAAAAAAAAAAAAAAAAAAATAGCAAAAACACCCAATCAAGAACTGCGGATAGTTAATTACATGCGTAGCCACGAAGCCTCAGGCAATCATCGCAGATATGCTTGCATTGAATGACAATGCCGCAAACGGAATTCGGACAACTTCACCTCCTTCGGTCCTTCCGTTCTGGTCGACGATGCACAGTTCAACATTCTTCGGAGACTATTTCAGGAACAGGCCACTCCTAGAGCGACGTGGCTGCTTGGTCTTCCAATAAGGCATCATTGTTGGAGTTGTATGATGCTTCCATTCAACTTGACCTGGTTCTCATTGGAAGAGTAGCGACGATCAGTGTCCAAAAGCCCTGAATGACACTCTTGTCTGCGACTCATGCCCGTGGATCATAGGACTTTTGCTCTCATGGATCTGAGACTGGTAGCTGCTAACGACAGACAGATATATTACGGCTCACCGAGTAAGTTCGGCTTGAGAACAGCTAGGTGGAGTCTAGGGAAGTCGGGATTACTAGATGTCCCTCAGCACATTCTTTCCAACAACAGCCATTAGTCCCTGAGGTGGCATCGGGTGCATTCATCCTCACTCGACTACACTAGTAGTACTGGCCTAGTTGCCGTGGTTCTCCCCGCCAGTCTCCGCATTCCACAAGATCCATGTCGCTTGCACCTGGGCAATCCCGAGCTTCCTAAAACAATTAATTGGTCCAGAGCAGTCTTGGTAAGTCCGGACGCTTTGATTAAGTGCACTTGGCGTTTTCACGACACGCCTGCGATATCAGAGTTGAACCCAGAGCGCATTTGCCGGGTTAAACCCTAAACGTCGAGTTATTCTACATCTCGTGCAACGTTATTTGAAACAAACGAGCATACATCTACACCGGAGTGATGACGCCATTGATGCAGTTCGTACTGCTACCTGTTTTCCTCGATATTGCAACCATGAAGTGCTGGCGTGGACTTTGGGTCCAAACGATCCTCCGCCATGTTGCAATCGGATGTTCACCTGGAAGTTGTCAAAATTTTCACTCATGGTCTAGTTACTTCGGTTCCTTTTGGATCCAAGGTTCATAGGATCTAATCGCCTGCATCCGGTAAAATATGTTGCCACTGCCACCGGAGATCCAACTTTGGTTCTTCTGATCATCCAATAGGGACTGTCGTATCGTGGTGCTATCCACGAATACAACGGCATATTCCTTACTCTTCGATATCAAAGTGTGGCTCCCGAAGAGCAACCGAGCTCGATGTCCCAGGATATAAACCTCGACCTTCACGCACCATTTAAGCTACTCATCCTCGGACATCTCCAGTCAAAAAGACAGTCATTCGCTCAATTTATCTCGTTTCACTTCCTTTCGTTCATCGTTGAGTCCTCAGTATTGCAATAATACCGCGTTCTTTCAACATGGTCAAGGGAACTCTCGCTCTTCTGGCCTTGGCTGCTCCGGCCTTCGCTGGTGTCATTGAACGTGGCGAAGGAAAGGGCTGGGGGGGGCATGAGGATAAGCATTCTTCGTCTCCCCATGCGAAGCCCACTACTGAGCCGTCCACTTCGACCACTTCTACCTCTTCGACTGCTACTTCGGAGACTACTTCTTCCTGGGAGGAGACGTCCACTTCGACCACTTCTACCTCTTCGACTGCTACTTCGGAGACTACTTCTTCCTGGGAGGAGCCGTCCAGCTCCCGCCACCACAACCACCACCACAAGCCAACTGAGACGCTTGTCACTCCTAGCAGCCGCTCTGTTCCGGGTACCACAGTGATCAACTCGACTCCCTGCACCTGGGCCACCATCGGTACCTCTAC